TTGTGTGCATGAAAACAAGACGTGAGAAAAATACTGCTGGAATGTATCATCACATCGGGGTTGTTTATATGTGCAGGTCAAAATGCTAAAGCTACACATGCCGCAAAACTTAACCTGTATTACTGGAAACTTTGATTTTCAGGCCAAAGACACAGGAGATGCTAGATTTAAAAGACCCCAATCAGTTGTTTGTTGTTGTTGTTCATGACCCCAAGGTATGGATTTAAATGCCGTCCTTAAAACAAGGTCTCCAGGAGGCAACAAACAGAAAATGCAACTCCACAATCCTCTCCGCACACCCACTCATATTGATGAATCTCAGGCCCTTTCCCCAAGCGCACTGAAGCCCGTTGTACTCTTGCCTGGAAAAAGGAGACTTGGAGCTTTCTGCCAGCAAAGCTGACCAATCCGGGAGAGCAGGGGGAGGGGATTATTTTTGCGGAGATGGAAAAGCAGGCCACTGTGGAGCAGGCCCCATTATGATCCAGGGCTGCCTATGACGCACTTCGGGAACCCGACTCCCCCCCTCCCGCAGGGCTGGCAAAAGAGCCCTCCTTCCCTCAAGATGACAACACAAGACTGGGCCCGGCAGGTCACCTCCGCAAACAGAGCTTCGGAAGGGGAGGGAAACCTGGCTGGCCTCTCTCGGGAGAAGGAGGCCTGGCCGAGCCTCAGATGGAATTTAACAAACCCTGGGAGTGGCAAGCGATGCGCCGCCCCTCCGTCTCCCTCCCCTTCCTGGGCCCAGCGAACTGCCGAATAAGGGCTGCAGCAAGAGTGGGGGGAAACTGGAAAGCTGGTGGTGTTTGGGGAGCCCCACAGCAGCTTTCAGGGGTTCTTAACCATGGGTCCACGGAAGGATTTCAGGAGGGTTCATCAGCTTGAATTGAAAAAATACTTGTATTTAATTTCTCTGACCTCTGAGTGAAGTATAGGGGCGTCTATCTACCACTACATCCAGAGACAGGGGTCTGTGGTTTTCATCTGGCTAGGAAAGGATCCCTGGAACAAAAAAAAGGTTAAGAACCCAAGGTAGCAGGTTGTTTGCCAAGTTGAGGAGTGGCTTAGGTAGCTGGATATGTTTATCCTGGAGGAAAGAAGGCTGAGAGGGGACATGCAAGCCATGTCTACATATCTGACAGGTTGTCACATTGAGATGGGGGGCAAGCTTATTTTCTGTTGCTCTGAAGACTAGAACACGGAACAATGGGTTCAAATGGCAGGAAAAGAGGCTCCACCTAAATATTAGGCAGAACCTCCTGAACTGTTCAAACAGTGGGATATGCATCCTTCCTTCTCTGGGGGTTAAGGAGAGAGTGCTTTGATTGTGTTAACTTTGAATATGTTTTAATGAGTTTTAACAGGGAATTTTTAAATACTATTTATATTTAATCCTGGCCATGCTGATGCTTTTATATTAAGCCGCTTTGAGTCCCCTTCGGGGGAGGTAAAGCAGGGTATAAATATAATAGTAATAATAATATTAATGTGTCTTCCTACCTGGCAGAATGGGGTTGGGTGGCCTTTGGGGTTTCTTCTGACTCTATGACACTATGATCCATGTCCCAAAGGGAGTCAAAGCATCTGGGATAGGATGTCCCCAGAAGGAAAGTACAGCCTAGGAACCTCAGCAATCAATCGGCCTCCAGATCAAACGGGGGGGGGGGGGGGGGGGGGGACGGACGGACTGGGTCATATAACCCACCATGAAACCAGCAGCTCCCCAACTTAAAAAGAGATCAAACATTTCCGGAAAACCAGGCACACTTCCTACCTGCACAAGGGCTAAGTTTCTAAGCAATGAGAAGAAGAAGGAGGGGGTGAGAAGCAAGTGTTCTAAAACAAAAAACAAAAAAGTGGCGCCAAAGAGGGGGAGGGACACCCTCAAGCCATTAAGAAAGCTCCTTCCGCCCACACAGCGGGGTTGCCGGCATGTCTATCCACATCAAAGCCCCCAGATGTGGGGGTCCCTCTCTCCGACAAGGAATGCGAACAGAGCACCATAAACTTAATGACAGGGAAGAAGAGACGCGACAATGGACTAAGGGAAGTGAACAGCATTCAATTCAGGGCAACTAACTTACGAGGACTTCACAGAATTGGAAGGAACCCCCAAAGACCATCCAGTCTAGGCACGGACAAACAATCAAAGCCCTCTTGGCAGATGGCCATCCAGCCTCCAGAGGAAACTCTGAACTGCTCTGACCTGACTGACAGGAAGTTCTTCCTAATGTTTAGGTAGAATCCTTTCCTGGATGTCCAGGACTCTCTAGTCTACAGAGATGCCGAAAACAAGCCTGCCCCCTCCTCCTTAATGTGGCTTCTTTTCCAGTCTTCAAGACATGGCTATATCTCAGCCTCCTTTTCTCTGAAGGCCCTTCCACACAGCCCTGTATCTCAGGTTTTCTGCTTTTAACCAGATAATATGAATCCGAACTGCCAGATAATCTGGGATCAGATCCTGGGATATAGGGCCTGTCTGGAAGGGCGCCGAGTCCACACTGCCATGTAATCTCTTTCATGTCATTTTGGAACTGTTTATTTTGTTATGTTATGTGTTAATTTTGATTTTTCTTCTTCTTTGTATTTTATTTTGCTGTACTTCTACTTTATTTTGTTGTGATTTTGGGTTTGGCTTCATGTTAGCTGCCCCAAGTCCCCTTTGGGGAGATGGTAAGGTAAAGGTAAAGGTTTCCCCCTGACATTAAGTCCTGTCGTGTCCGTCTATATATATCACATGTAGTATATAGTGTAGCTAATATTAGGTAAACGCAAACGTTTTCTCCTGACATGAAGTCTAGTCGTGTCTGACTCTAGGGGTTGGTGCTCATCTCTATTTCTAAGCTGAAGAGCCGGCGCTGTCCATAGACACCTCCAAGGTCATGTGGCCGGCATGACTGCATGGAGCACGTTACCTTCCCGCCGGAACGGTACCTATTAATCTACTCACATTTGCATGTTTTCAAACTGCTAGATTGGCAGGGTATAAATAAAGAGATGGTAGCGGGGTATAAATAAAGTTTATTATTATTATTGCAGCTTCAAAGCCTGGCTGCTTCCTGCCAGTGGCTTTCGACAACATTTGCAGCTTCAAAGTCTGGCTGCTTCCTGCCAGTGGCCTTTGACAACAATATTATTGGGGTTGTTGTAGGTTTTTGGGGGGCTATATGGCCATGTTCTAGAGGCATTCTCTTCTGACGTTCCGCCTGCATCTATGGCAAGCATCCTCAGAGGTCATTATTATTCAAAGCCTGGCCACTTCCTGCCAGTGGCCTTCGACAACAATATTATTATTATTATTAATATTATTATTGCAGCTTCAAAGCCTGGCTGCTTCTTGCCAGTGGCCTTCGACAACAATATTATTATTATTATTATTATTATTGCAGCTTCGAAGCCTGGCTGCCTCCTGCCAGTGGCCTTCGACAACATTATTATTATTATTATTATTATTATTATTATTATTATTGCAGCTTCAAAGCCTGGCTGCCTCTCGCCAGTGGCCTTCGACAACAATATTATTATTATTATTATTATTATTATTATTATTATTATAGCTTCAAAGCCTGGCTGCTTCTTGCTAGTGGCCTTTGAGAACAATATTATTATTATTATTGAAGCTTTAAAGCCTGACTGCTTCTTGCTAGTGGCCTTCGACAACAATACTATTAATATTATCATTATTATTATTATTACTCCAGCTTCAAAACCTGGCTGCTTCTTGCCAGTGGCCTTCGACAACAATATTATTATTATTATTATTATTATTATTATTATTGGGTTGTTGTAGGTTTTCCGGGCTATATGGCCATGTTCTAGAGGCACTAGGAAAATGGGTTTATATATCTGTGGAAAGACCCGGGTGGGACAAAGGACTTTTGTCTGCTGGAGCTTGGTCCCACCCTGGTCATTCCACAGATATATAAACCCTTTTTCCTACTTCCAACAGACCTCACTACCCCTGAGGATGCTTGCCATAGATGCAGGCGAAACGTCAGGAGAAAATGCCTCTACAACATGGCCATATAGCCCGGAAAAATCTACAACAACCCAGTGATTCCGGCCATGAAAGCCTTCGACAATACATTATTATTATTATTATTATTTTGCAGCTTCAAAGCCTGGCTGCTTCCTGCCAGTGGCCTTCAGCAACAAAGTAGGGGAACTTTATTCACTGTTGTTAGTATTGATTGCTAGGGGCGCCGCTTGAGCAACTCTTCCCTATGTTAGAGATCCTCCCAGGGCCCGAAAGGCCCCACGGACAAGTTTCGAGCTGCATGTCACTTCCTGCGGAGTAAGGAATGTGGCCTCAAGTTTCCCACTCGCATTCCAGAGCGGGGTTTGGGGGGGCAGTTCATTTATGGGGGGGGGGGAGATATAAATAAATACGACCCTAACAGTATGTAATCAAGTGTAAAGAAGAGGCCAAAAGGGGCCTAAGGATAAGGAAGTCAACTTGGGAGGAGGAAAGAGGCTGTTTCCTCATATTCGAAACAGTACAACAAAACAACAAAACAACAACAAAACAATAACAAAACAACAACAAGAAGAAGCAAGCTCGCCTCCTTCTCTTTCTCCATAAGAGGCCTTCCTAGGCCTCCATCTTGTCGGCGGAGGGAAGAGTAGGCCAACTTGGGAGGAGGAAAGAGGCTGTTTCCTCATATTCGAAACAGTACAACAAAACAACAACAAAACAAGAAGAAGAAGCAAGCTCGCCTTCTCCTCTTTCTCCATAAGAGGCCTTCCGAGGCCTCCATCTTGTCGGTGGAGGGAAGAGTAGGCCTCGAGCAAGGCGCCGGGCTCCATTTTGCCTGGCTCTCCCTTCTCTCCTGCTCTCCCTTCTCTTCCCTCCCTTCCCTCGCTCGGCCTCTCTCTTCTCCTCCTCCTCGGCGTCCTCCATCTTGCCTGCGCCGCCTTTCCTCCTCCTCCTCCTCCTCTTTGTAGGCCTCTCCACCTCCGAGGCCCCATTTTGTTTAGTCTCCGCTCGGATCTCCCCTTACCTGGAGGTGGGAGCAGGCCTGTGCTTGGCTCCTCCGCCGGAGTAGGCCTCACTTCCGCGGCCTACGCGCCCTTTCGCCTCACTTCCGCGGCCTACACAACTCCGCCAAGCGCTTCCTCGATTTGCCTCACCGGGGATTCTCTTTTTTGAAGAAAGGAAAAGAGTGAAACCAAAAGGAGGCCGAAGGGGGGCCCCTTCCAAGCCCGAAGGGGGGGTTTCCGAACCGGGCGGAGGGTTTAATTCGACGGCGCCGGGGATTGTTTGCGGGGCTGTTGGCGGCTCGGCGGCGGGCGGAGGAATGGAGGGCGCAGGCGCCACCTGGCGGCCCCCGCGCCAGGCCCCATCCCACGAGCCGACAGCGGCCCCTGCCGGACGGAGCGCGCCACGGCGCCTCTCTACGCTCAGCCTCCATCCGGGACCGCAGCGCAGAACGAGGTAAACAAGGTGCGGCGCATGCGCACGCCCCAGCACGGGCTCCACCCTCCTCCTCTTCGTCGCCACGCCCACCTCTTCCTACGTCACCACCCCTGGCTGTTCTTTCGGCGCGCGCGGGGGAGGCTCGAGGAGGCACGTAGCGAAAGGGGCGGGGGGAGGCGCGCGGCGGGAATGCACGAAGCATTCCGAAGTTGTCCGAACGCTTTCTAAGGTCTCTGCAGGCACACACGCTCTTGGGGCTTCATGTCTGAACTTGTCTCCCATGACATATATATATATATCTGTAATACTAATATTGTGATGCTAATAATGTAATATATTGTATATACATATAATGGAGATAATACAATATAATAATAATACAATATAATGTAATACTAATATTGTGATATGCTAATGTAATATATTGTATATTATATATACATATAATGGAGATAATACAATATAATAATACAACATAATGTAATACTAATATTGTGATATGCTTATTTAAGCAGGAATATTGCATTCAAAGCACCCCCGACAGATGGCCATCCAGCCTCTGTTTAAAAGCCTCCAAAGAAGGAGCCTCCACCACACTCCCTCTGGTGCAGAGAGTTCCACTGCTGAACGGCTCTCACAGTCAGGAAGTTCTTCCTCATGTTCAGGTGGAATCTCAACATGAATTGAATTGCAACAGCTAATAGAAAGATATAGAATCCTAGAATCAAAGAGTTGGAAGAGACCTCCTGGGCCATCCAGTCCAACCCCATTCTGCCAAGAAGCAGGAAAACTGCATTCAAATCACCCCTGACAGATGGCCAACCAGCCTCTGTTTAAAAGCTTCCAAAGAAGGAGCCTCCACCACACTCCCTCTGGGGCAGAGAGTTCCACTGCTGAACGGCTCCCACAGTCAGGAAGTTCTTCCTCATGTTCAGGTGGAATCTCAACATGAATTGAATTGCAACAGCTAATAGAAAGATATAGAATCCTAGAATCCTAGAGTTGGAAGAGACCTCATGGGCCATCCAGTCCAACCCCATTCTGCCAAGAAGCAGGAATATTGCATTCAAATCACCCCAACAGATGGCCATCCAGCCTCTATTTAAAAACTTCTCAAGAAGGAGCCTCCACCACACTCGGGGCAGAGAGTTCCACTGCTGAACGGCTCCCACAGTCAGGAAGTTCTTCCTCGTGTTCAGGTGGAATCTCCTTTCTTGGAGTTTGAAGCCATATCTGAAATACTAGTATTGTGATTCTAATAATGTAATATATTGTATGTACATATAATGGAGATAATACAATATAATAATACAATATAATGTAATACTAATATTGTGATATGCTTATTTATTTTATTCCATAGAATCCTAGAAGAGTTGGAAGAGACCTCGTGGGCCATCATCCAGTCCAACCCCATTCTGCCAAGAAGCAGGAATATTGCATTCAAAGCACCCCCAATTTTTAAACTGTTGAATATGGCCCAGCCATAGGTTTTTAAATCCTTGTGTGTTACTGTTTATTAGTTATTGTTTATATCTGATTTATATTAATTGTATGGTATTTATTGCTTTTGTTTATTGATGTACTGTTGGGCTTGGCCTCATGTAAGCCGCTCTGAGTCCCTTGGGGAGATGGTGGCGGGGTATAAATGAAGTTTTATTATTTTATTATTATTATTATTATTATTATATAACATGTATTATTACTAATAATATTACAATATAGCAGTATACAACAACAAAACTTTTATTTATGTACTGCTCTATCTCCCCATGAGTAACATATTATAATGTAATGCAATATAATAATAATATAATTATATTATAATATATTAGGGGGTTGAGAACGGTGGGGTAAAAATACCAGAAATAAATATATTTATATAACTTGTAATATTACTAATAATATTACAATATAGTGGTATACAACAACAAAGTAACATAATCAATACATACAAAGAAAACAGCATAAACATTTATGTTGTTCATTCGTTCAGTCGTCTCCGACTCTTCGTGACCTCATGGACCAGCCCACGCCAGAG